CTCTCTCTCTCTCTCTCTCTCTCTCTCTCTCTCTCTCTCTCTCTCTCTCTCTCTCTCTCTCTCTTTCTCCTCCACCTCGTCGCGGCCTTTAGTCTCACTTCGCCGTGGGTCTCTCCCTCTCGGCGACGCGCACCGGCGCACACGTATCTTCGTCTTTATTTCTCTTCTTTTCAGAAGCGGCTTTAATGGCGAACTGCGGGTGGTCCGACGTCGACGCCTCGGACTATTGTTACGACTCTCGCATACACACAGGGTCGCACACACCGGTCAGTATAACCGATTATACGAGCTCGCCTGCATTAAGGTAGCAATAATCGCGGGCGCGCGCGCGAACGCGCGCCCGCCCCAAATCTTGCGCATGCGGCGCGCATTAGGGAGCGCGACAGCGAGGTGGCACTAACTTGACACTCCAGGCCTCAGCGCAGTCCATCAAGCTAATGCAATAGCACCTCTAACGACTATAATTATCCCCTATACAGACCGCCCCAAAAGCGCGACCACACACTCGTTCTATAATCCGAGACACTGTGCCGCTAATTGACGACTTGGTATGAAATATATAATATTGAGTTTGCTTCAGACATACGCCGTGCATTAAACTGATCGACCGTGATTCTACATACTGTGAGAGAAAAATATCTAAGAAATGAGAAATACTTATCCGCGGTAAGTACCGATAAAACATATTTATTTATAATTAACATAAAATGTTTTTCAAGTAATATACGTTCTCTTAAAAGAAAATATACGTTCTCTTAAAAGCAAAACTTTTCTTGAAAATTCTATTTATTCTGTTTAAACGGAAGAATCTAGATTCTTAGATAAATATGTTATTAATACCAATTGAATAAACATTTTTTATTTTTTTTGATATTTTCTTGCTCGGTGTAATGACTGTAAATGTTAAAGAAGTGGTTATATTTGAAAGTATGCCGCACGAAATGCTCGATGCATCGAGGAATGAATATTTGAACATGTTTCTCGATGTACCGTGTGCAAAACAGATCTCATACAATGTTAACAATACCGTGAAAAATAAGCCAACGGACGAGCAGTCGTCGAATGTTTCACTTGATTCCTCATCCGATACGCGAAAAGGTATGGACCTGCAGTAATCGTGATAGATTCTCACGTGAAGTTAACACGAGTTCTATTTCATGCTCTCTAATCCCTAGAGGGAAGGACTACCGTGCAAGGAGAGAAGGAGTCGTAAAAGTCGTAAAAGCCCGACTCTTATTAGCTCGCATTTTCGACAAACTCCCGCCGCCGCCTACTCCATTCAAAATGCTAATCCGATTCTTATTATATTATAATGCTCCTCGCGCGACCCGTCGATTCGAATCGTCGTTGAAGCACGTGCTTGCCGCTCCAACGATCCGGCGTGAAAGAAGAGGCCGGGGGAGAGGGAGAAAGTAACGGGGACGTGAGGAGCGGGCAATAATTGAAACGGCGCGGATATAGAAAAGAGCGCAGGAATATACACGATAATTGGATTACCATAACAAGACAGGGAGAGATATGTTTTCTGCCCGGTCTCTCAATGATGTAACTAACGTCGTTAACATTTATGCTTGTACAACACTTATTTTTGCTAAAGTTACACGCGACAGGTATAAATTCTCGATGTCTCTATCGGCTCTCGTTCACCAGTACCGCGCTCGACGCGCAATTATATTTAGAATTGCGAGCGACGTTCATCCAGAAAGGAGCGTCAATCCCGGCGACTGTCCATTTTCATTTCACTGCTAATTAGTTGGTATCAGCGCGTGCTATATTTTCCTAACCGCCGCCGCCGCTAGCTAACGGAGCCGGCTTCTAGCTTGAATTATATTGCGTCGCGGTGTAATGACGTAAATGCGTGTTAACGAGATGACTGACAGCCCGTCGCGCTGCAAGAAGCGCGCGCACACACGCGCCACGTATCGCGGTTATTTTTCCTGTCTAACCGTGAGCGAAATAACGCGATTCGTTACGTTACGTTAGTTGAGGTTAGGCTGTATGGGACTTTGCTTGCGCAATGTCTCAATAATGTCAGATACTTCGATCGCATTACGCAACACGATATAACGCTGTTATTATCTCTGTCTTTTTCTTCTCACCTGTATCTTATTTATACATTACATAAGATTTGCATTATCTCGTTAAATTCGTACTGTATGTGTCAAGCTGCAAAGTTGTAATATCAAGTTAAGAAAAGGTAACTTTTTCTTTATTGTTAAAAGACGAAATAAAGATCGTGAAATATTAATCCTTATACGCAGAAAGATACACATTCAAGTAAAAAAATGTTACTTTTCTATTATCAAGATAATAGACTATTATTAAAAAGAATATTCTTTGTTGGAGACAAATATTATTTGAAAGAAGAAAAGCAAACTGAGTAATTGCACAGAATTTTCTACTGTGTATACGACTAAACAGAGTTGCTCACAACAGAAACTAAAATTGAGTTCACCGATTTGTAACGTCACCTAAGGGTTAAGAGATGATTTTTGAGATCCTCGAGTGTTCTTCTAGTTTGACATCGCGGATCGCATTAAACGGTACATAGCGATTACTTCACGAAAAGCGACGTCTTTTGTCGCTCGTGTCGTGAGGGAAACGATCACCGTCTGGAACGACACGAGTGAGAGAGGAGCCGTCGACAGGACGACGCGCCCTCGTCAAAATGCTGAAAATACCCAAGGCGGCCAGACGTTTATGGCATTCCGGGCTACATTGTCGGACCCCGTTGATCGTCGCGTGCGCCAAATTGCGCCACGGCGTTGAAATTCCACGAAGGATTGACCGCGGCCGGGGGCTGCAATTTATGCCGATAAAGGTGCGAAACTATGACGCGCGCGATGCAAACGTCTCGCGCGACAAATGGCATTCCCCGGGCCCTCGCTCGGCCGCCAACAGAGACCAAACCAATACCGCGGCTCCGAGGGTGGATCGCGCGGCGCGACCGAGGGCCGTCGGATGGACGACGGACACGTCGCCGTTCTGCTGCGACCCTTATCGCGCATCCACGCTCATCAGTCTCAATTACATCGGGACTCGCCGACCGGGACAACTCTCCGGAGCGCGGTGTATAAAAACGCGGACAACGTCGCGACCACGGTGATTAGCCGCGAATTTGGCGTAGTGGAAATTCGTTTCACGTCGAATACCTTGCCCGTCGAATCACATCGCCGTTACTGAGAGAAAAATTCGGTCGAGATCGAGTGTACGTCGAGATGGGGGAAAAAAGAATTGGCAAACGCGAGAGAGGCGGAATTCCCGACGTAAGGTAAAAGTACTAACGCTTGGACATGTACCTGATCCTGAATGGACAGACATTTTTATTGTTTTGGTCTTTAAATACGAATGTATTTAAACTTTCGATATAGAATGTATATGTTGGGTGGTGTAATAAATAATTTCGCGTCTTTCAGATGAATTATAACGTTTATATTTTTCTGAAACAATGTATTTTAAGGATGGTAGAAGATTATGGATCAAAATGAACATATGTTGTTTCATAAAATTATAACTACATACAATCGTTTCATTTACTTGAAAATCTCAAAGTTACTTATTACACAAACCAATATTTAATCTCAACATATATGTATATATTTTATATTGTAAGCTTAAATATTCGTACTTGAAGACCGAAATAATAAGGATGTTCAGGATTAGGTCATGCCCAGGCATCGGTACTTTCACCTTACAGCTTGTATCGGTCGTACGCGT